ATCGCATACCGTACAATCCGCATACCGGACGCTTTGATCGCAAAAATTTTGCCTCGCATACCGCCCAAAAACCCGCTCACCGCCCTTCGTCCGAGACGCGTCCAATGTGCGGCCTGAGCCATGCTCACGTTCCGCCGGTGGCATTGTTTACCAGCCAGCCTCCGCGGTAACATCCAAGCATACAATCGGAACATTTCGTATTATTACAGTGTTTTTGGTGATTTTTTCTGGAAAATAAGTGACCATGGGCCCCAAGAAAGCTTCTAGTGCCAACCCTACAGCAATAAGGGTGAGAATTACTATGGAGATGAAGAAAAAGATCATTGATAAGTATGAAAGTGGAGTGCGTGTCTCCGAGCTGGCCAGGTTGTATAATAAACCCTAATCAACCATCGCTACTATTGGTGGTACAGCTGCTGCTGTACCACCGTCAGCTGCTGCTGCACTGTCAGCTGCTGCTGCACTGTCAGCTGCTGCTGCTGTACCACCGTCAGCTGCTGCTGCTGTACCACCGTCAGCTGCTGCTGCTGCTGTAGTACCGTCTGCTGCTGCTGTAGCATCGTCTGCTGCTGCTGTAGCATCGTCTGCTGCTGCTGTAGCATCGTCTGCTGCTGCTGTAGCATCGTCTGCTGCTGCTGTAGCATCGTCTGCTGCTGCTGTAGCATCGTCTGCTGCTGTTGTAGCATCGTCTGTTGCTGCTGTAGCATCGTCTGTTGCTGCTGTACCACCGTCAGCTGCTGCTGCTGCTGTAGCATTGTCTGCTGCTGCTGTAACATCGTCAGTTGCTGCTGTAGCATCGTCTGCTGCTGCTGTAGCATCGTCTGTTGCTGCTGTAGCATCGTCTGTTGCTGCTGTACCACCGTCAGCTGCTGCTGCTGCTGTAGCATCGTCTGCTGCTGCTGCTGCTGTAGCATCGTCTGCTGCTGCTGTAACATCGTCAGTTGCTGCTGTAGCATCGTCTGCTGCTGCTGTAGCATCGTCTGTTGCTGCTGTACCACCGTCAGCTGCTGCTGCTGCTGTAGCATCGTCTGCTGCTGGTGTAGCATCGTCTGCTGCTGCTGTAACATCGTCAGTTGCTGCTGTAGCATCGTCTGCTGCTGCTGTAGCATCGTCTGTTGCTGCTGTAGCATCGTCTATTGCTGCTGTACCACCGTCAGCTGCTGCTGCTGCTGTAGCATCGTCTGCTGCTGCTGTAGCATCGTCTGTTGCTGCTGTAGCATCGTCTGTTGCTGCTGTACCACCGTCAGCTGCTGCTGTAGCACCGTTGTTGGTGTGGCTTATTGAAAATACCAAGAACAATTAACCCCAGAGGATTTGCCACCCAGGATAACCCAAAAAAGTCAGTGTCATCGAAGACTGTCTAACTTATTTCCATTGGGGTCCTTAATCTTGTCTCCCAGGATGCAACCCACACCAGTCGACTAACACCCAGGTGAACAGGGAAAATGCCTGGAACTAGTGCTCATATTGGTGAATTTAGAGCCAGCAAAGGTTGGTTTGAGAGATTTAAGAATCGTAGTGGCATACACAGTGTGATAAGGCATGTTCTGGAAGAAAATACCTAACAGGACCTACAGTACTCAGGAGGAAAAGGCACTCCCAGGACACTGTCTCATCAGTCATTGCTGCATCTTCAATAAAGTTAAGTGTCATTTATTCTTCATTTAGTAGAGTAGTACATGCACAATATATATTGTGCATGTACTACTCTACTATTGTGCATGTATCCTTCTCTTTGTGTGTAGGAAAATGTATATTTCATGTGGTAAAAATTTTTTTTTCATACTTTTGGGTGTCTTGCACGGATTAATTTGATTTCCATTATTTCTTATGGGGAAAATTCATTCGCATACCGAACATTTCGCATAACAACCAGCCCTCTTGCACGGATTAAGGTCGCTATGCGGGGGTCCACTGTATATATTTAGTACAATTTACGACGTTTTCATGTATTTTATGATTATTCATGGTTCAACAAATTAAGGAAGCAGTATTGTAATATATTTCCCTACAATATATTGGGGCACCAAACATTCACGGTTTTTCAACATTCGCGAGGCTCTTGATCCCCTAACCCTCGCGAATGTTGAGGGAGACCTGTATACGCTTTTTCAACATTTGAAAGTATGTAAAAAAAGTAGATTTTTTTTTTTTTTACATTTGAAAACGTGTAAAAAACCTTTGATTTTTTTTTTTTTTATACACCTACCATCCGACTTATGACCTGCTCGACTTATGACCACTCGACTTACGACCGTGTTTTTTATGCCAAATTTCTGGGAAATAAACAACTATTTGTGTTCTACACAGTGTTTATCCTAAACCTTACAGTATAAAATACAGTACTAACAACATAAAAAGTAAAGTAAAACATGAAATACCAAAATAAAACAATAAAATAAAGTCATTACAAAAATGTTTTGTTGATATCCAGTAGTAAAGTTCGACTTACGACCATTTCGACTTACGACCGGTTTCTCGGAACCGAACTCGGTCATAAGTCGGATGGTAGGTGTATTTGAAAATATGTAAAAAAAACGTAATCTACTTTTGGAGCACTACGCATATGAACGTAGATCTGCTTGGACCATTTACGGGTTAAAGACCACAACAAGACAAAGATCATGACAACCAGGAAGATGATGGGGTGGGTATTGAGAACTTTCAGAACAAGGGAAATAATACCAATGGTGACACTCTTCAAATCGCCAGTGCTCCCTCACTTAGAATATTGTTCAGTGCTGATGGTCCCGTTCAAAGCAGGAGAAATATCGGAGCTGGAACAAATACAAAGATTGCTTACGGCTCACAATGAGCCTGTAAAGCACCTAAATTACTGGGAACGCCTGCAGGTCTTGAACATGTATTCATTGGAGCGGAGTAGAGAGAGATACGTGATAATACATATACCTGGAAAGTACTCGAGGGCCTGGTCCCAAATCTGCACACTGCCATAACAACATGCCGGAGTGAGAGATTTGGGAGGAAGTGTAAAATAAACCCAGTGAGGAGCATGGGTGCAGTGGGGACAATAAGGGAACACTGTATCAACATCTGGGGTCCCAGACTATTCAACATCTTACCAGAAGATATCAGAAACACAGCTGGAACAAGTGTAGAAGCCTTCAAGAGGAAACTGGACAACTATCTTCACCAGATACCAGATCAACCAGGCTGTGATGGATATGTGGGGCAGCAGGCCTCCAGCAGCAACAGTCTGGTTGACCAAGCAAGCACCAGATGATCCTGGCCCATGGCTGGGCTCAGGGAGTAGATTAACTCTCGAAACTCTTCCAAGGTATATCAAAGGTATATCTACCTCTTACTCTAACTAGCTACAGCTAAATAATGATCCAATATATCTGTTACCCCTCTATAAACATGCACATCCTGAAGCATACCCATCAACCGTTTATCCACCAATACATAATCTAACAAACTACCTTCATTATGTGCTATATTATATCTTGTATACTTATCCTCTTTTTCATATGTATTACTTATTACCAAACCTCTTTCTACCCATAGTTCAACTAAAGGCACCCATTTTCATTTATCCCTGATACCCCAAACTTACCTACTACTCCCTCCACAACAATTTTACCCACTTCAGCATTTGGATCCTCAACCACAAGTACTCTCTCATTTTGTTCAAAACTCCCCATGCACTCACTCTACATTTTCCAAACTCACTCACTCACTCTCCTCTACACTTCTCACTTCTCCAGGTGCATAAACACTTACGATGACCCACTTTTCACATCCAACCCTTATTTTACTCCACATAATCCTTGAATTAAAAATGAAAATAAGGCGGATGTCCTGGCTCTAAGTGAAACAAAGCTGAAGGGGGTAGGAGAGTTTCAGTTTGGAGAAATAAATGGGATTAAGTCAGGAGTTTCTAATAAAGTTACAGCTAAGGAAGGAGTAGCAATAATGTTGAAAGATAAGTTATGGCAGGAAAAGAGGGAATATCAAAGTTCAAATATAGCAACATAATTCAATTCTATTATTGTCCCCATTAATTTAGAAAAACCTTATTTAACAAAGACAGACCTAATATCACACCACGTCACACGGCATCTTCAACAAAAGCAAGCAAGGTACCAGTTAACTCTCACCATAATGAGGTATGACCAGATTTTAACAGGTGTAATTATGCTGATTTGTTTTCCTTGTTAAAAGATTCATTTATTCTCAATATGAAATTAATCAATGAATAATGGTATATACATAACTACTTATTATTAACTAAATGCACAATGTCATTAGCTATTATGCAGTTATGTAATCATCACATTAATTACTGTACTTGTTTCAGTTCAGTTATATAATATTAACTACTTCCACCATCTCCAGTACAAAGGTGAGCAGTATACCACATTTTCATTATAAATCTATTCATATGACTTCAATCTTCCTGTTTTTCTTTTTTGTTATACACAGCTATTTTCATTCTTTAAACACTTTAATAATATACTGTTTCAGTTATCCAATCAAAGTGCACTAACCTAACACTTGAAAAACATTACACCTAAACATTTTATGCCATGCCTTCCTCAAATATTAATTACCTATAAGCCTACAGCAAATAATTTTCTAGCCTAACTTACCATTGACTACTATGACCACTATTCCAGAAAATTTAGCATATCCTACATCAATAATCTTTCTCAGATTTGAACTCTTTAATATACAGTATAAAAATAGTGTGTAACTGCATTATTAAACAAAATACCCAATTTCTATCTGGGGACAGTAACTTAAAAAAATGTTTACACATGCACCTATACAGTAGTATTAAATAATTAAAGATCTTATCTCCCCACAAGGACTTTTCAACTCTTGGACATACCAATAAAACACATTGCACCAGTTTATGTGAACACCTCAAGGCTGTTGCTTACAACTCAGGCAAGACAGTGAACAGGCCTAATGCAAATAAATGAAAAATGATAAGTACGTGATACCACCTAGAAACATTGCAACCAACAATATACCTCCGTATCTTCCATCTCAGCTAGATTGAACATCAACTCAGTAAAGAATTCCCCATCTGATGCCTGCAAAGGGAGGAGTTAACAATTGTTAGATTAAGATGCTACCACTAAGTCATCCTTGGATACACACACAATGAACTGGTTAGCTCACTCAGATCACTATAGTCTAAAACAAGTCAAGGTCTTGATGAAAAGGGTAATACTGAACATATATAACTTTAGATCAGAAGCCTGAAACAAGTTATGGAATTAAATATTACAGAGGAACATTATACTATTTACTACTACTTGATGAAAATAAGAATAAGCTAATTAAAACTTATAAAATCTTTAATAAATGGGCAAAAAAAAATTAAAAAAAAAAATCCAAAAAAACAAGCAATTAGTGTTACATATAAACCTTATAAATAAAGCTGTATCAAGGCCATGCTTCCTAAACATTTATACAGAAAGAAACTTTGTTAAACAAGCCATAACAGTATATACAGTGGACCCCCGCATACCGATTTTAATCCGTGCAAGAGGGCTCATTGGTATGCGAAATAATCGGTATGCACCAGTGGTGCTTCACACTGTAGCTGTGTGAGGCAGTCATATATATACATTTTCCTACACACAAAGAGAAGGATACATGCACAATAGTAGAGTAGTACATGCACAGTATATATTGTGCATGTACTAGTCTACTAAATGAAGAATAAATGACACTTACCTTTATTGAAGATGCAGCAATGACTGATGAGACACTGTGTCCTGGGAGTGCCTTTTCCTCCTGAGTACTGTAGGTCCTGTTTGGCATTTTCTTCCAGAACAGGCCTTATCACACTGTGTATGTCACTACGATTCTTAAATCTCTCAAACCAACCTTTGCTGGCTTTAAATTCACCAATATGAGCACTAGTTCCAGGCATTTTTCCCTGTTCACCTGGGTGTTAGTCGACTGGTGTGGGTTGCATCCTGGGAGACAAGATTAAGGACCCCAATGGAAATAAGTTAGACAGTCTTCGATGACACTGACTTTTTTGGGTTATCCTGGGTGGAAAATCCTCTGGGGTTAATTGTTTCTTGGTATATTCTCAATAAGCCACACCAACAACAGTGCTACAGCAGCAGCAGACGATGCTACAGCAGCAGCAGCAGCTGACAGTGCTACAGCAGCAGCAGACGATGCTACAGCAGCAGCAGACGATGCTACAGCAGCAGCAGCAGCTGACAGTGCAGCAGCAGCTGTACCACCAATAGTAGCGATGGTTGATTGGGGTTCATTATACAACCTGGCCAGCTCAGAGACACGCACTCCACTTTCACACTTATCAATGATCTTTTTCTTCATCTATATAGTAATTCTCACCCTTATTGCTGTAGGGTTGGCACTAGAAGCTTTCATGGGGCCCATGGTCACTTATTTTCCAGATAAAATCACCAAAAACACTGTAATAATACGAAATGTTACGATTGTATGCTTGGATGCTACCGCGGAGGCTGGCTGGTAAACAATGCCACTGGCGGAACATGTGAGGCTGGCTAAGGCGCACATTGGACGCGTCTTGGACGAACAGCGGTGAGCGGGTTTTTAAGCGGCGAGCGGGTTTTTAAGCGGTATGCGAGGCAAAATTTTAGCGATAAAATGTATCGGTATGCGGATTAAACGTTATATGATGCCAACGGTATGCAGGGGTCCACTGTATACTGTATTCATGATGAATACAAATTAATCTGGGCAAATCTTGTGTGTCCAGTACAACTATTCTGTACAAGGGCACAAAACTTTTTTAGTAAAATTAAGACAGGTCAGGTTGCCAAATTAGTTTTGGTACAAACAAAGCTGAATTTCATTTATGTAAATATGTATGGAAATAAATAGAGCAGAAATAATCCATTTTAAACAAAATTTGACTTGTTTGGCAACTCAGTCTTAAAAAGCAACACATGCCATTTACATATACAGTATAAGAATACCTTCAAATAAACAATTTCAACCCAACACACAAACATGCATGCATGCAGACTCAAGCATAGGGAAGCACAACAAAATGCTGGATAACACACCTCAGGAGCTTAAAAGAACATATTAAGTTTAAAGAACATTGAATATCGAAACGGGTTTCCATATGCAAAGGTGACCTTGGAGATACTGTAGTAAAAACAATAAATGAAAACTTACTGTATGAGGCAGCTTCCAGATAACCATTAAAACAAAGTAACTTCCAAATCATCCCACTTTTACTTATTATTTAATGAACTTCACTTTGTAAAAGATAGTAAAAACATTTAAGGGAGTATTTAAGAAGAAAATATTTAAAAATGCATCAGCATAAAACTGAAAGACTTATAAAAAAAACTCACATGTGTTTCCAGGTCACTGCAATGGCTTCCTGTTAATGGGGAAAGCAGTGGAAGCCTGAGGGAGTGATTCCACTTGCAAATGCGACCAGACACACTGCTGCTCGGACTGCTAAAACCAGATGGCCGAACAAAATGCAGGTTCTTGGACACTGTGTCATGGAGTGAATTTACAAATTTATCTCCCTTTGTAAGGCAATAATTCTTAGTAAAACCATTATGCTGGACTTGGTTAGATGCCTGGCGCAAGCCCGCGAGGAGGTTGGAGAATGGGGTAACTTTACTGCCCAACGCAAGGGTCACAGCTGGCTTCTTGACGGGTTTACCCTCCAAGGTAGAAGTGGGTAATTCAAAGCTCTTAGTGTCACTACAAATACATGGTATTTGCTCATTGATTTTTTTCTCACAATTAAAATTTTCCTGATAAAGATCCTGGTGCTTTTCAACTTCTCTTAAAGCCTCAGTAGTAAGGAGGACAGGTGTAGTTAAGCACAACTGGGGTGAGATCAAAGGCTCACTATCATAAGAATAATTATTAATGTTTGAGTTTTCAGACTGGTGATATGAAGGCGTGAGAAGAGATGGTAAGGGAGATCTGCACACATTCTCAGCATATGAATCTGATGGGGTGGGGTACAGTGTGGTCATGTTATCCATACTTCTAGTTTCTGCTAAATCTTCCGAGTCAGCAACACTACTACTGATAGCCATGCCATATATAATTCCATTTTCTCTACCTTTTCTGTCAAACTCTTCCATGAGACTTGCCACATCTCCTGACAACTGGTCACTATTATTCATGCACTCTTGTTCAAACTCTTCACTGGCTCTCCCAAATAGCTTTTCCTTCTCACTTATTCCCTCAGTTATCTCCACACACTTATCCTTGCTGAGAGACTTATTGAAGGGAGGGTGGTGGTGGCTGTCTAAGACATGCGATGAAGCTCTATTACACGTCAACTCCATTACCATCTTTTCCAGTTGCTGAAGGCGCTTCTGCTGAGCAATATTGTCTAATTCTATCTTATAAACTTTGCGCTTCAACATTTCATTTTCACATATTACATTGGTTGACATTTTTGCGAAAATTATCTGTCCTCCTATCTTCAGACCAAAGTCCTCTTACACACTGCACATTTTCAACTAAGATTATGTATTTCTCAATGTCACTCGTGTCTTCAGATGTACCACAAGAAAATGAGATTGTCCCATAACATCAAGTAAAATGTTCACCACATGGGCAATTCCAGTCAAGAAATATGAATTTCCATCAAACAGCTCTTTTTTCTTCTTTTAGCAATAGCCTTGATTCTTTAGGCCAAAACTGTACATTCTGCAGATTGACCATGTTTGTTGATATATCTTTTTACTAGTTAAATCACCACTTTGAACATTATTAACTTCACGAGAACATCAAAACTATATTACACAACTGGACTCAAAACTTCTATTATTTCAAAATAAATGTTTGCATCTTTTACGAAAACACTTGGGGTGACTATAACAACAGGACTGACACGTATTTATTTATTTATTTATTAATTTGAACATGATACAGAGAAGTACAAGGAATACAATTTTTAAAGTGCAGCATGCCAAAGCCCCTTGTATGCACAGCATTATGGGCAGGCTTAAAATTAACTTAAGATTAAATAAGCAATGATATTATTGTAAAACAGTTAACAATTTAGTACAAATGAGTATTACAAAGACAGGTCATATGGTCATTTACTGTGTTGCTGTGTAATCAGTAGAATGGAGTATTCTGTTAGGTAATGAAGTTAAATAGTAACAAAGTTTGATTGGGTCACAGGTTGACATTTATGAGATACAATAATGATACATATATGAGATACAATTTATGAGATACAATTATTCAGTATTTATTTAGTTGTGGGTGAGTAAGTGATTTTTGAGGAGAGACTTGAATTTATAAACAGACAGTGTTTCTTTTATATTCACAGGTAATGAATTCCAAATTTTAGGGCCTTTTATGTGCATTGAGTTTTTGCATAGCGTGAGATGGACACGAGGAACATCAAAGAGTGATCTGTGTCTTGTGTTATGGTCATGTGTTCTGTTAAGGTTGGTAAGGAGATGTTTGAGGGGAGGGTTTATGTCAGAGTTAAGTGTTCTATGTATGTAGTAGGTGCAGTAATAAGTATGGATGTTTTGTATTGTGAGTAGGTTTAGAGTTTTGAATATTGGTGGAGTGTGTTGTCTGTAGTGGGAATTTGTTATCATTCTGACTGCAGCCTTTTGTTGGGTGATTAGTGGTCTGAGATGGTTTATTGTTGTTGAGCCCCATGCACAAATTCCATAAGTGAATGAAAATAGGAGAAATTCCAAGTATGTACAACACTGCTAATATAATGTTGCACATTAGTGACAACACAGACATTAATAGGTCTAACATGGTAATACCTTTGCAATTTTATATTATATAAATATTTGTACGGTACTAACACAAAACTCCTCGATTTTTCCCTCAACGTACATATTAAAACTGCCATTTGTTCCAGAATTTGAGCAATACATAACTATCAATGCATAAAATCTGAATAAAGCATGTGTTTTATATTGCAATATTTCGTACAACTGCTGGAACTACCAACAAGAATTATATAAAGAACCTTTCATGGACTGCAATATGTACCTGATCCATTAATCACTCCAAATACTGCCAAAAATATTTTAAAATAATATTTGCTTTATTTAAATAATACAAGTATATTCATGTATGGTGTGAGCCTATTAAATGTCCTTTTTAAAATTAAAACAGTTTTCGATTGGGGACTAGGTTCCGGCAAGGCGAGAAAAATGGGCTTTTTTTTCATATTTCAACTTAGTATAAAATAAATTGACAGGTAAATAAACATATCTGGATATATTTTTTATTTAATCTTACCACACATACCCTTGTAACACAATATTTTAATGTCACACATTTATGCCAGACAGATAAACAAGGCTACGGTAGTGATTCAAATATTAAATGCAATTCATATAATACATCTACAACTGAAAATTAAAATATCTAACTTGGACCATTAGTCTTCAATGATAACTTGTAATTCTGTAGTGCCCAATAAATTTTATTTTAAATAATTACTCGATAAAACTTCACTGAGTGAACTATCGAATAATAAAATTAGTATTAATAGGGAGCATTAAACCTGTGGGGGTTTATGAAACGCCTGAGGAAATGGACGGCATTCCGGCTTGATTCAAGAAATTGAAGCACAGGTACAATTCCTTAAATTAAGAGCCCCTCACCTGCTGGAAGGAGTCTCCTTTGCAGGAACTGCATAATAAAAGCTTTCCTTGCCGTCTTTGACTATTACGTCCGGGTAAATAAACTGGAATGACAAATGTGCAACTAACTGTAATCATACACAAATAACCCGCACATAAAAGAGAGAAGCTTACGACGACGTTTCGGTCCGACTTGGACCATTGACAAAGTCACACTAACGTCGTCGAAACGTCGTCGTAAGCTTCTCTCTTTTATGTGCGGGTTATTTGTGTATCGTTCCAGTCACGGTATTGTGCCTTTTTGTTATTTATAACTGTAATCATATTGCTACGTTTAATAAGCAATGAATGAACGGTAGCATGTTTAGTTACCAACTGATAATATAACAAAAACTGTGGTTCGTTTGAATCCTAGCCATCAATATAGACAAGTAACTTATAATACTCAGAAAAGGTAAGTCACTAAGGATACCCAAACGCTACACCCATCAAAAGTTCCTTTGTGTACAATAGGCAGAATCACTTCTTTCACAGAATGATGGTATAACCACGGATGCTTTAAAAGTTCCCATTTAATCTTGAGACAGAGATATCCCGGTGCCACGTCTTATACTTCGTGCCATCATCGCATATAATTTGCCTGGTTGATTCAACCATAATAAAACATTGTGGCCTTGGCAGTAAACAAGGTACTGGGAAAGATAAAGGCCTGACAAGCTATGTAGTTTTATCACTGTCAAGATCGATCCCCCCCCTCCCCCTAAAGAGTCCTGCCAACACAACACTGGTATGGGGGAGGAAGAGTGTGTACCTCCACTCACTAAGAAACCGCGGGTGCACGCTGTGTGAGTACACGCACCAGAAACAACACACACACCACACCACACCACACACCCCACACACAAAAAACACACACACACACACAATACACACACACACACACACACCCCAAACACACACACCACACACACACACACACCACAATCCAAAAGCCGCTTGCCAGAGTACAACTAGCGAAGAAAAATTCTCATCTTTACAAAGTAAGTAAGAAGTAAGAAAGTTTTATTCAGGTATACACAATACAGTTAATAGAATTATCATACATAGCAGCATAGTGTAGAAAACCCTAGGATAACCCAAAAAAAAGTTCATCTTTTGACAGTAGATAAAATTGTCCACCATCAATCACCTGTACCAGTGCAACGGAGGGAAAAACACGGGAGAATCGTCAAATCAACAGTAAAAAAACCCAAGGTATAGGAGGGTTACCCTCAGTCCCAGTCTGGGAAAAAAGTGAATAGTTAAATAGTCAAGGTTAATGTTTTAGTAGCTGACCTATATTCAGCTGACCAGTGTACAGTGAGAGAATCATGCAAAAAAAACCCAAATATATCTATAAACTCAAGGAAAGTCAGGTGGTTTATCCCCTCGTGTTTTAAAAATGGCTGACGCAAAACAGGAGGAGACAAAACACCCAAACCCCCCGATAAAGGGAATTGAGGGGTTTTGGGAAAGGAAAAACCCATTGATTAAACCTTTCGGGTTTCCCCAGAAGGGAAAGGAGTTAAAGTTAAAATTGGGTTGAAGCCAGACTGGAAGTGAGGGGGGTAAAGGGGGGGTGAATTAAGGGGTTAAATGTAAGGGTTTTGTGAATTTAAGGAAAAGTGAGCAGTGAAGGGGGTTTGAAAGGGGAAAATTTTACTGAAATTCATGTAATTAAAGCAATATAAGTGTATAGGGAGGGAAAAAAGGAAAAAAATAAATATTATTGTATAGATAAAAGAGCGAAGATGAAAATGGCGGGCTTGAGGAGACGGCTGCCATAATTTATTTATTTTTCTTCTTCAATTCCATGAAGAAAGAAATCATCATGGGGGTTGGAAAAGGTGAAGGAGTAAAAGCCCCCCGGGACAGAAAAAAGCCCAACAGTGCCATCCTCCCAAAAAAGTAAACCTACTATGCGAAGGTGGAAACACCGCATACCTAACAAAAACAATGGACACAGCTCTTATTTAGCGTTTAAGTGGTGTATCCAAATTAATCCAGGACCTCAAAATATTGGGCCGAGGCAAAACAGACAGAAAATGCGGCAATAATGGGGTCTAGTAGTAGGGTGATAACCTTAATCCATATGTAATGCTACATGGGTAAATGTAAAATACACATTTTACTAAAACACTACCAACAATGAACACTGTATAAATACGCTAAAAAAAAGAAAAGGAAACCCTTATGAAAAAATGTTAAGGGGTGGGTCATGATGGATGTATGACAATTATACCCAAGGGTGCCAGAATTCTTTTTTTGGTGTAACAAAGCATTTTGGGCCCACATTCCCCTTTAGCAGGATGACATTGATTTACCTAATTTTAATCAAAACCCATTGCCATATATTGATGATTATGATTGTTTTATAAAAAAACAGGCCTTCACTTTATTCTGTAAAGAAAGATCACTTCTTCCCAAATTTTGGCAGAGATTAGGATTCTAGCAAAACAAAATTAGGGCGGCTTTTAAAACCATCTCTGAATCTTGGTTGGATGATACGGTGATGACGACGGGGGTCAAAAAGAAGGTTACAATATAAAACGCTTAGATAGGAACAAAAAGGGGGGGTGGAGTAGTGCCTACATTACCTGGATTTATGGAGAGATTTTGGGGGGTCAATGCCCCCGGCCCGGCTGTGACCAGGCCTTGGTGGATCAGCGCCTGATCAACCAGGCTGTTGCTTGGCGCACGCAAAACCAAGTCGAGCCACAGCCCGGTGATCGGGAACGATTTAGGTGCTTGTCCATGCCAGCTTAAAGACTGCCAGGGGTTGTGTTGGTAATCCCCCTTATGTGTGCGGGGAGGCAGTTAAATTTATCTCGGGCCCCTGACATTATTGTAGGGTTCTTAACGTGCTTGAAAACCCCGCTTTTCTTTGGGGGGGGGATGGTGCATCGTTCCCAAAGTTTTTTCTTTCTTTTGTGAGTGATTTTCGTGTGCAAGTTCGGTACTGCCCCTCTGGATTTTCCGGGTGTATAAAATAGTATCTCCCCCCCTGCTTTCCAGGGAATACGGGTTAAAAAACCTCAAGCGTCCCATAATTAGGTGTTTTATCTCCGTTATGCGCCCGGGGGAAAGTTCTCTGTACATTTTCTAGGTGGGCCCAATTTCCCCTGCCTTAAAAGGGTTTCTGTTAGATGCAAAAAATTTTCCCAGCCTAGAAGAACAAGTGCCCTGAAGAGTGTCATTGGGTTTGGGCCCCCCCTAGTTTTAAAGGGGTTTCTCATTTCCATCCTGTCATTTTTCTGCAATGGGGGATTATAAAATGTTTGGTCCTTTGAAGGTGAGTTTCCTCCGCTTTACCTCCCAGGTCTTTGACGTTGGGGGTTTCCTCTTTTTTGGGGCCAGAATTTTGTTTTGTACTCTGATGAAGATTTAATTTCCCGTTTCCATACGAGTAATTGAAATTTTTTCTAAACGTTGAACTTCATATTGTTTTCTGCACCCATGAAAAATTTGGTTGATGTCCGCCCGGAGCATTGCGTGTCTGCAATGGAAAAAAAACTGTCTGCAGATTCGGGTGTCTCTGCAAAGGGGGAAAACACGGTGCTGTGGTGACATCCTTGTCTATGTCATATGAGGATGGGAAAAAGATGGGAGCTAGTACTTTCCTTGTGGAACAAACTTTTCACCTAGCTGCCCCGGACTTTTTTTCTGTTGACGAATATTTTGTTTTTCTGTTTGGAGGAAATTATAGAAAAACTTTGCTTACAACCCAAAAACCTGATTTAAATAAAATAAAAATGGGGATTCTTATGGGTTTTAAGTCTGTTCCAAGACCAAACCCATCTTGTAGGAACTAGTTTCCCCCCCTCCTACCCGGACCAGTTCTTAGAAACTTTTCCAGGTCTTGTCCGGGGTTGAAACAAAACGAAACAAAAATAGGGGCTTCAAAAATTTTGTTTTTTACAACAAAATCGGGTTGCAAAAGGTAAAGCAAAATTTTAGGGTTAAATAGCCACCCAACTAATTAATAACCAACCCGGGGTCACACATTCTCAGCACCCAAAATTTACCACAACTTTGAACCGCGCGAGCATTTGTCTCAGGCGTCATTACCAAGGTCTTAGTGATTTTCATTTTACTGCACCCGGAAAATCACTAGGGATTGGATAGGCCACCAGGACTATAAAAAAAGAGGTCAACTAGAAAATACGAAAAAAACACTGGTAAATAGGTCACAATTTGACTGGACAGAGATAACAAATTGCACGGGCCCCTAAACGATGCCCGGGAAAAATTCAAAACAATTTCCTACCATTCTTAATAATTTGCACCCTTAAAAGGTTAGGATTAAAACAAAAACGAACCCGATGATACTGAGATATTAGATAATATGAAATTCAGAACCAGTGCTAAAAAAATTTTAAAACAAACAGACGGATATTTCAGACTAAAAGAATTCCAAAAAGGGGAGGGAACAGAGTACAGAGGCTTAAAAAGGAGCAAAGGCAAAGCATATTGCTCAAAAAATTTAAGAATATAAACATAACCCCCGAAAGCTTGGCAACAACTAAAACGTTGGGGTTAGCCATAAGCCTAGATAGGTCTAACTTTACTCACATCGATAATGAGGTATGCCACGAAAATCTAAGGGGCAAATTGCTTTAAAATTCCTACTACAATTGTTGCACAAAAAGTAAGTAAACAGCTGCACAAAAACCTTTAACAAGACTTGATAATTTCAAACTATATACCAAAAAAGGGGTAACCCAAAAGTTTGTCAAATATAATGTATTCCCCTGATTCATTTTAAAAAAAACTAAGCAGGGTTTAAACCCCCCTAAAAGCACAGGGCCCCGTAACATCCCGTCAATTTTCCCAAAAGTGGGGCTTCTGAACGTCAAACCCCATTTCTCAATAATAAATCTTCAAACACCACTTACCCTACCGGAGGGGGTTAGGGGGCCAGGTTACTCCCCATCTTTAAAAAAAATAATGGTTGAT